GAGGCCAGCCTGGGCTACCAAGTGAGTTCCAGGAAAGGCGCAAAGCTACATAGAGAAACCCTGTCTCGAAAAGCCAAAAAAAAAAAGATCTGAAAGGAAAGAAATACTGTAATATAATCAGAGAAGACTTCAACACCTTACTTTCAACAATGGACTGATCAACCAGATAGAAAAATCAGTAAAGAAATACTGGACTCAAACTCAATTTAGACTGACTAACCCTACTGATCACATCCAGAACATTCCATTAATAAGAGTAGAGTAGATCCTTTTTCAAATACACTTGAGATAGTCTCCAAGAGATCTCATATGGTAGTCACCCATAGTATGGAAAAGTTTTAGAAGATTGAAATCATATGTCATTTCAGATTGAGATGACACAAAACTAGAAACCAGTAACAGGAAGATATCCGATACAAACTGGTCAGCCCTGAAGCCATAGGCACACAAACAATAAAAATTGACTCAGCTTGTTGTGTTTATAGACCTATGCATATACAAAGAGATAAAACAGTAATAGCTAAAGGTAAAACAATAGTAGCCAAAGAAAAATAGACTATCAGTGTGAAAGAAGGCTATCAGTGTGAAAGGAGGGGACATGTGAGGGGCAAGAGGTAAGGGAAAGAGGGGAAGGATGTAATTACATATTTTTATTAAATACTTCTTCAAATATTAAAAGCAATTGTAGAAAATAACATTATTTTCCTTCACATTGTCATTTTTCTAGTTCACTTTTCCTTTCCACATCCTATAGAGTGGACATTAAGACTTCTGTCTAAGATTCTTGTGAGAAACTTAAATAAAAAGTGCTTTCTATGCAAAGACATACTATTTTCCTTTATTCCAAAGTCTCTCATTTGTGTAGATGGGTGAACCTTGCACACTCATATTCTGCACTCTAACTCCAGATTATTTTACATCATCTTCTACCTATCAAGGGTTGGAAAATAATTTAATTTACTTAATATTTAATATTATTCTACAATTAAATAAGGAAAAGTTGAAAACTATCTTGGACAAATGAAAATAATAGACACACCACCATGCCAAGGTTTATAGCAGTTAAAGTAAAAGTCATTCTAAGTGAGACATTTACAGCAGTAAGCTTACACATAAAAAAGAAAAATTACAAATATGCAACTTCACATTACATTGTTAGGCATTAGAAAAACAGCAAAGTCCAAAGTTAATAAAGGGGAGAAAATAAGAAAGAACTGACCAAGAATAACCTCTATCAGATTGTCTTGAAAGCATGTCTGGGAGGCATTTTCATGATTAATGATTGACATGGAGGGGCTGGCCCATCATGGGCAGTAGCACCAGTGGACAGATGCTCCTGGGTTGTATGAGAAAGGAAGCTGAGCACGCCATGGAGGTCAAGCATAACCAGTGTTCCTCCGTGATCCCTTGTTTGAGCTTTGGCCTCCCTCTACAATGAACTGTAGCCTGTAACCTATAATAACATTTCCTCCCTTAGTTGTCTTTGACCGTGCTGTTTATAACAGCAACAGAGACTCAAGCACGGTCTTTGCAACATCTTCACAGTGTTTGAGCAAATTTTAAGGAAAAATTACTCTCCTGAGCAAAAGGAATACTCAACTTTTCCCTATTGTGTTGATGATTTCTTCATATCCAAACCCTATATAAAGATAGGCATTCTGTCAAATGCTGAAATCCACAGCTCTTCCTTGTGGGTCAGTCTGCATCTTCACTTCACCTGGATCTGCATCCCTTTGGGTTCATCCCAGGTGAAACCATGGCTGAAGATGGCTAAAGACGTGTGTGCCTTTAGTGAAGTGACGGGTTTTCATTAGTAATTTTTAAATCATAGTCAGTTGATCTGCAAAGAGAATCTAGAGACCATTATATATCATCAGTATGCTCTATTCCACCTTGTTTTACAAGATATTTTAGCCTCAGCTCTGTATAAACAGATC